GAGCAAATTATATTGTGCAATATGGATCATGAATAAATGTATACTTTTAATATATTAAATGTATATTATTTGTATACTGAAGGTATAAATAATTAGGTAGAAATAATTAGAATATTGTTTATACACTGTTGGAACTCTTTCTCTTGTCTCATTCCTGATTGCGCCTAGCCTTTGACTTAAAATCCGGCCTATACATGACAAATAAAATAAAATAAAATAATTTTAAAAAGAGTGACTAATAAATAGGTTGTCTTAAAGACCCTCATCTTGCAGAGACTTTGGCTGTTAAGGAAGCTCTTTCCTGGACTCTTGAACAAGGCTGGCATAACATTCTTCTAAAATCAGACTGTCAGTTGGTATGCAAGTTTCTGAATAATGACTTACCAGATCATTCTTATGCATGTTGCGTTCTCAAGTATTGCCGATCTCTTAAACGACACTTTGAATCAGTGTCCATTCAATATATCAATCGATCAGTGAATAAGCTTGCTCACGTGTTGGCTAGAGCTGCTAGTTCTCATACTGGTCATCTTAATTGGTTTTCTAATATCCCTTCTTGTATTGAACATTTAATTGCTTGATTTTATTGAAATATTTTCCTTTCAAAAAAAAAAATAGGTAAAGCATGATACTCTCATTTAAAAGTCACGTGTTTGATTCATATTTGGTAATATTAGAGTGGTTATGAACTTATTTGGTAACATAGTTAGCTTATCAGTCAATTTTGACTTATTTGATTACTATTCGTTGTTTGACTTGGTTAAACAATCAATATGAGTGTTTGATTAATTAACTTTTGTAACAACTTATTACTTCAAAATGCTAAAATTCAAAAAGCTGCTTTGAGCAGCTTTTTTGATCATCTTTTTGATAAAGTCATTTTGCATGTAATCAGTTATCAACTAAGAGCTAATTTACCTAACTCTTTTCTACAATCAGCTAATGCTATCAACGTAACTACTCAAACCCACTAACCCAATCAGCTAACAGTTATTTGTCAAAACACCTCCTATATCATCTTGGTCGTCCAATTACTCCGAATGACCAGCTTGGAAAATGTTTAGTATCCTTTTAGAGAATATTACTTCCTTCACATGTTCTGATTTGGTATTCTTGTTAGAGGAAGAAAAAAAAAAAAAAAAAAAAACAGTGCAACTTCAAATAATTTGAGTGGGTGTCACTTGTAGGTAGAATGGACAATTGGTCCAAACACATAACAACATGGGTGTCACTTGTAGGTAGAATGGACAATTGGTCCAAACACATAACAACATTACATAATTGCTACTATGTAATAGATCCAGAAGTAGCATAGATAGTGATTTTACAATCTGTACACATTGGGACCCTTCTCCAATATGATCACATCGGTGGAGCCATGCAGTCCATTCCAAAACCCACTTTACCATATACTTCCATGCCTATTTGTTTCATTACATGGTAGTATGGTACCATACTATGCCTACAAAACAAATGCAAGTGGTCCTTTGGAAATTCATCAATTTCCTTCAAACTTCTATTCTTCCCTATATACATTATCCTACAATATAATGTGCTATCTTGCCTGTCTTCAATCTCTGATGTTTGCAGGGCAACCAACTCAAATGTTGACACTTTTTGAACCCTAGCTTAATTATCTACCTACTACTTCGATCTCCACATGCATATGCAATCATACTATGTTTTGTATGATATCTTTATTTGAAGCTCTCTACTTGTTGGATACTGCATTTTTCTCCTTACCTTAAATTAGATGTTCATGGATATGTTGTTTGTTGCTACATGTTTTGTAGTGAATTTGTCTACCTTTTATAATTTCTGAACTTTTTAGAGAATTTAGTAGTTTTCGTTTGTCTTTAGAATGCACCTAACAACAATATAAAGCACACTGAACAACAATATTAAGTACTTCGTTCTAACGTTATCATTAATTGCACCGAATGTGAAAGTTAATTACACTTAGGTTCACCTTTAACTTTATGGTTTAATTTTTTTTAGTTGACTTAAAGGTTCAGTTTTTACTATATAGGAGTTTAAATATTTTGGTTTAGCTTTACATTTAGTTTTCTAGATTTTTCAATAGATGTATTATGTAGTTTTACTTATTTGCACTTTATAGTGATTTGCACTTTAAAATTAGAGTTGTTTACAAAAAATGTCACCGTCATTTACATGGTAGTATTTGTTATATACTTTCTCAAACTTTTCCAACCCAAAGAATCAATGCCCCCACCACGAGGGTTCGATTCTGTGACCACCCATTTGGAATGGAAATAGATGTTCTATCACACTACATAGATTATGATGATATGTTAGATATTTTTAAATTGATGAGAGTCGCGTTTAGGTGCGAACCGGTCTTAATGTGCGAACCTGCGAACTAGTCTTAATGTGCGAACTTGCGAACTACTGAAAAATTACACCGCAACTACTACATGACTGCACTGCATCGGATACAATTAAATCGCAAGGTTCTCCAAACATGCATGTCTGGAAGGCCGTTGCGATGTAATCTTTCAGTAGTTTGTTGGTTCAAATGTTAAGGTTGGTTCGCATTTTAACGCATATATATAGACATTTGATCTGATTATTAAATATATAAAAAAAAATGGAAACAGGAAAATCTTATCCTTGACGTGGTTAATCTAGTTATTACTCCGTACAATACTCGATATTTAGTTAATGTTTTGTGTACCTTAATCAATTCCGTAACAAGTTAATTAGGCTCTGTTTGGCAAACCTAGCTGAAAAGCTATAAGCTAGGAGCTGATAGCTGAAAAAGAGCTGAAAGCTGAAAAGCTATAAGTTCGGAGCTGATCGAAAATTGAAGAGCTGTTATGATTGAAAGTGTTTGGTAAAATTAGCTTTTTGATAAGCTGATAAATATAAAAAGACTAAAAAGGACATCTTCATAAAATTTATGTAGTGCAAATCTGGCCATAATAACATCAATTTGGGTCTCCTCACTAAACTGCGGCATTTTAGCAAGTATTTCCATCTCTTATTCAATACTCCAAACGACCTCTCAATACAATTTCGAAGAGAAGAATGTGCACGATTGAATGCTTCTTGAGCATTAGTTGGTGGCTCTTGTTCAATTTGAGATTGAAGCCATAATAATAATAATAATAATAATAATAATAATAATAATAATAATAATAATGATGATGATGATGATTAGCTAAAGTTTCAACGTAATTGTTTAGCCGGAAGCAAGACTAAGGAAGGGATAGATTGACGTGAAAGTTGGGATAGGGGAAGAGAAAGAGTTTTAATTCATTAGGTTAAAATATGTCATTACTTTAAAATAATAAGGGTAAAGATGGAAAAAAAGTTAGGAAGCTAGTAGATTATTTTGAAACGCTACCTAAAGTAGCGTTTCAAAATAAGCTTTTATTTTAAGCTAGGAGCTTATTTTGGGAACATTACCAAATAGAGCTTATAGTTTATTAGTAGCTTAAAATAAGCTATAAGCTCCTAGCTTAGCGTTGCCAAACAGAGCCTTAGAATTAAGTAATCAAAGCTTCCTAATGTTTGATAACATTATGAATTTTATAACACTCTTCCCAACTGGTAGACGGTTCCTTTTTCCCCAGATCGATGAAGAAGGGAGACGTCAGTTTATTCTTCCGAAGAACCGGAAGTAACAATTAACAATAAATAAGAATGTTAACTACCATATAGCGTGATGGCATCTCGATTACCATTTCAAATGGGTGAAGATAGTATAGAAAAGATACTCCGTAGTATTTTGTAAAGAATTTTGAACAAAAACAATAAATAACAATGTGTTAAAAAAAAAAAACAATAAATAACAATTAATAAGCATAGATAATGCCAAAAGGGCCAATAATAACAATAACATTTCATATGGGCTGTCAAGTAATACGAGTGGATGGGAGTTTCTTTGTTGAGTGCCATTGGGCTCTCTCATGCTCAGAGTGCTAGAAGTTAGCCCTCAAGTTTTCTTCCACCTTGAGTTTGATATCCCATAATGGATCTGTTCGGTAAATGGTTGTTAGCTGATTGAGTTAATTAGAGAGCATAACTATTTGATAACATTAGTTGACAGTATAAAGGTGTTTGGTAAATTAATTGTTTGCTGATAGTTCTTTGGTATAATTTCTTTTCTCAAAAAATTAATTGAAAAAAGTTGCTATTTTGAGTAGCTTTTTGAATTTTAGCATTTTGAAGTTATAAAATGCTAATTAATCAAACACTTATATTAATTTTTTAACTAAGTCAAACAATTAATAATGATCAAATAAGCTAAAATTAGCTTGATAAGTTAAATATTCTACCAAACAGGGCGAATGTCTTTCCAGTTTGGTGGCATGCAAGAAACTTGTGATTGTCAACTAATTGCCTAAGATGCCTCAAAGTAGTGGTATCTGATACAGTAAATACGGAGGTATTCGTACCGTACAGTATCGAGTGTGGCATATTTGAGCCCGAGATCCTCTAACAATGGGTCGGGAGTCTCCGGTCAAATAACCTGAGTGTAAAGTAGTTGAAAAGTCCCCATCTTAGTAATAAATCCGCTATTTATAGTGAGAGAAAGGGAACAAAGGTTCGGGCCTCCGGCATGCTCGACAGTGGTAGGCATGCAAGGGCTAAGCTCGGGGGCCGGAGGATATCGTGACGCGTGGGGCTATATTCCTGACGACGCCTCGCTACACGTGGATTCGGATGCTTAGGCGCCCGACCCTAATCGATCGGGCTACCTAGCGGTTGGGGTAACGAACGGGCAATCCGCAATGAGGTGGATCGGAGTCCGTATGGTCGGGAAGTCCCGCACGTCTAATGCCGGTCGATTTGGGAACAACGCGGGCCAAGAGTTAGCTACCTATCGCGATACCGACAGTAGAGCAGGAGGGGTCGGGGTAATATCCCTATCAATATCATTCTCGTCATTGACATCCATATGTAGGCTTATAGCATAGGTAAGCATTTCTATGATCCCCTCTCGTGCTGTATATTCAATTTTGTTAATTCATTCTAGATTTGACAGCGCATTCCTAGTTATTGGATCATTACCTCGTACAAGTACAACTCTTTTATTTTTTTTTGGAGTTATAAAAACATAAATTAATGTTTTGGTTCTTGCCTCTTGGGCGACGATTTTCCCTAAGCAAACCATTCGGTTCCTACGATGATTTTCCCTCTTGAAATTTGCGCCCACCAAGTCTCTACTTTGTGTGTTAAATTTCTCAAGTTGTCCACTGTTAATTCACCAAAAAAAAAGTTGGATTCTTGGAGCCTTAGAGGTTCCTGGAACCAATCCTTGCACAAATTTTCTTGCCGAAGAAAAGCGAGAGGAACAAGAAACTTGTAAGTTGGACGTTAGATTCATAATTAGATACACGTTTATTTTGCTTTGATTCCATCACTTTCATATTTTGTTTTGACAGTGATAATGAATTCCGAGCTTGAGAAAAACGGCGAATCATTTGGTTGTTCGGAAAACCTCAGGATGCAGATTAAGGATGCCGGCGCCGGCGCCGGCGCCGGGTGCGAGTCCGCAAGAATAGGAGACCGGCTGTCGCGCCTGATGACTGAAATGATGGCTGCCCAAGGCGAAATCCTCGGCCTGGAAGCGCAGCTGGCCGCCGCCGCCGCGGTGGAAACTGCTCTCACCAAAGAGAAGCTCAAGTCGGAAAAACTCGAGAGGATCGTGGACGAGCTGAAGGAGACTAATCTTCACTTGAGAGCGGCGGCCACGAACCGGGAGGAGGAGATGCAGAATCTGGAGAAATCGCTGGCGGAGAAGGACGCCCTGGTGGAGAGATTAAACCTGGAACTTGGGCACACAAAGGAGCTCAAAATCGAGGAGATGAAGAAATTGAAAGAAGAGATGGAACTGCAAGAAACCCAGAACCGGGACCAGAGCCGCTACATCAGTTTACTGGAGACGGAGGTGAAGCAATTAATGGGGGAATCCGGCAAAGCCCGCGACCAAGTCGCAACTCTGAACCACAACATCGGGAAGTTAAAAGCAGAAGTAGACGAAATCAAAAGCCAGGCCGATAGGGTTCTTGAAGCTCAAGTCGAGAACGCGTTGCTGAAAGTGGAGCTCCATAAATGGCGATCAAAAGCCGCCGCCGCAGAAGAACGATCCAAGAGCTCCATAAATCGTGGTCTTCAGCTAGCCGCCTCATCACACCACCAAACCAGCAGCAGGAACAGGTTTCTGCTAGAATCTGAACACAAGAAACAAGGGAAAATCGACGACATTGGGACCCTTCTCCAATATGATCACATTGGTGGGAGCCATGCAGTCCATTCCAAAACCCACTTTACCATATACTTCCATGCCTATTTGTTTCATTAGATGGTAGTATGGTACCATACTATGCCTACAAAACAAAAGCAAGTGGTCCTTTGGAAATTCATCAATTTCCTTCAAACTTCTATTCTTCCCTATATACATTATCCTACAATATATTGTGCTATCTTGCCTGTCTTCAATCTCTGATGTTTGCTGGGCAACCAACTCAAATGTTGACACTTTTTGAACCCTAGCTTAATTATCTACCTACTACTTCTCCACATGCATATGCAATCATACTATGTTTTGTATGATATCTTATTTTGAAGCTCTGATCTCTACTTGTTGGATACTGCTATTTAATTTTCTCCTTACCTTCAATTCGATGGTTCATGGATATATTGTTTAATTTGCTACATATTTTGTAGTGAATTTGTCTACCTTTTACAATTTCTGTACCTTTTTAATTTGGTTTAGATTAGAAGTTTACTTTAGAGAATTTAGTAGTTATCGACTTACCGTTTGTCTTTAGAATGCACCTAGTAATAGTATAAAGTACACTGAACAACAATATTAAGTGCATCTAACGTTATCATTAATTGCACCGAATGTGAAACTTAATTATACTAAGAGTAAATACCCAAAATGGTCTATCGACTATAGCTAAATTCACAAATTGGTCCTCAACTTTCAATTTCAACCAATTAAGTCCTTAACTTTGTAATTTTAACACAATTTGGTCCTCTGTCTATTTGACCGTTTGTTGACCGTGATCGACGATCTCCAGAAGAACATTCAGCTTCGTCGGAGCACGTGTAGGCCTCCAGGATGACGTTGCACCGGTTCGGAAACACGTCGTCTTCTTCGCTCTGGTACGAACTCAACTACATTGAATCCAAAGGGAGGATGAAGAAAGGCGACCGAATTTGGTAGATTGCTTTCGGCAGTGGATTCGAATGTAACAGTGCGGTCTGGAAATGCAACTAGAACCTTAAAAAACCGATGATGGACCATGAAAGTACATATATATCCTCAAAAATCACAGTCAACAAACGGTCAAATAGACAGAGGACCAAATTGTGTTAAAATTACAAAGTTAAGGACTTAATTGGTTGAAATTGAAAGTTAAAGACCAATTTGTGAATTTAGCTATAGTCGAGGGACCATTTTGGGTATTTACTCTTATACTAACGTCGTTCACCTTTAACTTTATGGTTTAATTTCTTTTAGTTGGCTTAAGGGTTCACTTTTCACTATATAGGAGTTTAAATATTTTTGGTTTAGCTTTACATTTAGTATTTTAGATTTTTCAACAAATGTATTGTGCAGGTTTAATTTACTTGACTTATTTACAAAAATGTCACAGTTCTTTACAAGTAGTATCTGTTCTATACTTTCTCAAACTCTTTCAGTCCAAAGAATCAATGCTCCCACCATGGGGGTTCAATCCTATGACCACACATTCGGAATAGAAACAGAGGTGCTATCACATAGATTATGATCAGTTAGATATTTTTCAATTTATGACTCTAATTGGTTCATATTCTTTCTTAGGGTCGCGTTCGGGTGCAAACTGGCCTTAAAGTGTGAACCTGCGAACTACTGAAGGATTGCACGGAAACTACTACATGATTACACTGCACCGGACACGATTGAACTGCATAGTCCTCTCCTCTAGATATGTATGTTTGGAAGACCGTTGCGGTGCAATCCTTTAATAGTTTGTTGGTTTACAGGTTAAGGTTGGTACGCATTTTAACGCTTATATATATACTAGTTTTTTTACGCGCATTGCGCGATTGAGATAATGCCCAATGTTTTTTTTTTAAAAAATAAGTACTATAAAATATATCAATGCAAGATTATATTGGAATTGTTCATGCATAGATAATTGAATGTTGAATTTGCATAAATGGGTATGGTTGAAACCAAATACGAAAAATAAGGGAGAGCAAATAAAAATTAGGGCATAAAATATTAAATATATACTAATATTGAAGAGCTAACTGCTGATTGCCAAACAAGGACATTGCGAGATAGTTTCTCACTTTAATTTGTTGTGTGATTTGAATACTCTTTTTGTCAATAAATCTCCCAAGTAGTTAATATGATTGGCTTAATTATACTTTTTATTTTTATTTTTTTATAACAATTATTATTATTATTATTATTATTATTATTATTATTATTATTATTATTATTATTATTATTATGAAATATATTATACCTTTAGGTCATTTTACATGTTAATCTAAACGGGGGCTAATTTCTTCAAATATCTTTTTACCAATTGTTGATATAATTCGCTGGTCAAATCCGCTAACGCTAACCGCTAACTGCTGATTATCAAACAAGGATATTGCGATGTAGTTCTCACTTCAATTTGTTGTGTGATTTGAATACTCTCTTTGTCAACAAATCCCTCAAGTAGTTAATATGGCTGGCTTTATTATTTATTTTTTTTTTTAATTTTTTCATGGTATTTAGTAAAATCCTTGGTAAATAAATATATAGCATTATTTTGTATTATAACTTTGATATTTAATTAAAAAATAGTGCACAAAAAAGATAATAGAAAATGTAGTGAATATAATTAATTGATTAATTTGAATGTAAAGAAGTTTTACTTTGGAGAAAAATAAATTAAAGACAATATAACTAATGAAATTATTTCTCTTATTTAATTTATTGAAACATTGTACACAAATAATTTTAAATTAAAGAAATGCATATGTATTATTTTTTGTTGTAGCTACTAAATTATTGATTATTATTATATAGTTTAATAAGAATAAAATAGAGTACTAATTATGCCAACTTTAATTTAATTGGGATGGAGTTCGAACCTGAGACCTTTCTTATTAAAATAAATGAGTAAGTTAACGGTGAACTAACAGAAACTAACGGAAAAGATAATATTTAACAGAAAAGTTAACGAATAATCATATTCATTAAGGATAAATTAGGAAATCTCAAGAAAAAATTAAAATCTGATCAATCTGAGCCCTTCATTTGATTAAAAAATTTGACCGCCATTTTTTCTACCCATTAGAGGCTTAACTCTCTTGGGCTCTTATTAGTATACTAGTTTTTTACGCGCATTGCGCGATTGGGATAATGCCCAATGCTTTTTTTTTTAATAAGTACTTTAAAGTATATTAATGCAGGATTATATTGAAATTGTTCATGCATAGATAATTGAAGGTTGAATTTGCGTATTTAAATAGGTAATTCTTCTCCCAGAGTTCCCAACCCCAAGGGACCCCCCCCCCCCCCCCCCACACTCTGACCCGACAAAGCATTGTGGGAAGTTGTAAATCACGGTGACTCAATGGTTCAGCAGACAGGGCCAAATGCTGATACACACAAGGAATCTGCACACTTTGGACATAATTCCTGCACTGCCGCCGCCGAAGTTCAAACCTTGGTCTCTTCTCCCAAATACTACCCACTAAACCATTGAGCTAAGCCCGTGCGGGTTAAATAGGTAATTCTAAATTTACAAATGCAAGATAATATAGTCAAGATTGATTATAATTGTCAATAAAATAATTGTATAGGTATGGTTGAAACCAAATACGGGACATAAGGGAGAACAAATAAAAACTAGGGCATAAAATATTAAATATATACTAATATTGTTTGAGGAGATTCCGACATTAGGATTTGTGGTTAAGTTCTATTAAGACTTTAATATTAGAATTAGATTAATGATGTAGTTATAATTCTATATTAGACTTTAATATTAGAATTAGACTAACGGTGAATTAACGGAAAAGTTAAATGGATAATCATATAATTAAGGATAAATTAGAAAATCTTAAAAGAAAAAAAAAATTAAAACCTGAACAATATGAACCATTCATTTGATTTAATAATTTGGCGGTCATTTTTTCTACCCAATGTTAATAATTAAATAAATTCGCTGGTCAAATCCGCTAACGCTAACCGCTAACTGCTGATTGTCAAACAAGGACATTGCAAGGTAGTTCTCACTTCAATTTGTTGTGTGATTTGAATACTCTCTTTGTCACAAAATCTCTCAAGTAGTTAATATGGTTGG